CCCCCCCCCCTCAGGTCCAGCGGTTCACTGGTGTAGGTTGTAGCCATGCTGGGGCAGGCAAGGTTGTTTGGGTCAATCAGATATCTTTTATTAGACTAACATAATTGGAAAAGTTCATCTTGGCAAGCTTGGTTCTCCTGGAGGAGTAGGGCTGGCCGGGACCTGCAGGGGCCACCTAGTCCAACCCCCCCTGCCCTGGCTTATTATACTCTTATTCTTGCCTCCTTATATTATTTTTCTTAATTGAATTGCCAGACATTGGTTAGTTGAGTTTTAGCTGTTTTAGTTTTGGCTGCCTGGGGTACAGTTAGTGGCTCAGTGTTGATATGCCCGCTTCTGTCTCTAGGTAGGTCGCAGCCTCCGGCATCTCAAGTGCTGCCCGGTCAAGTGCTTTTTAAGTCACCAGCTCAACTTCCCTTTGGGCAGATCCAGACGCTCTCTGACTGTGGCTATGACTGGTTACAAATCCTCCGCCCTACCCCCCTTGCCCACACAGATGCTTTTGCAGGGGTAGCAGCAACCTTTGGCCTGCTGAGTTTCCATTTAGGCCAATTGATGCACATAAGCATTGGGCAAGGCTTACAAAGAAACTCTTAGCTCTCTCTCCTGTTGTTTTTGGGGATCACTAACCATGCATAAATAGATTGCAGGGCACTACAGAAGGGAAAACGAGTGGGGTTTGGGTTGGTGGTTAATAACAAGTGCTCCAGCTGAGCAGAGCTCATTAGCCCATGCCCACTGCTCTCGAACAAGTCTGAGAAGCCGGTAGACACTGCTCAGTGAAACTGCCTGGAGACATGACTGGCTGAGGGACAGGAAGACAGCCCTGCAGTCATCAGGGGTCTTGCTAACCAGAAACTCCTTCCTGGTCCGATAAATGGCTAGCAGTTTAGCTAGGGCCAGGAGGAGGTTGACCAGACGTTCTCAGGACTTGGTGGGGCCATGGGTGCAGGATGCGGAGTTTTCCTTTTGGCTTGTTTGATGTGCCAAAAAAACTCATGGACCGTAGCCCATTACGAAATGTATACGCCTCTTGTTAAGAAGAGAGGCCACTGAGGACACATCAGCTAAACGTCGGGCACAACAAAAAAGAAGTCAGGAACAGAAATGATGTCATAAGTTAAAAACTAGGGCTACAGAAGTGGACACCAAACAGCACACCGGCTGGCACCCACTGCCCCCTGAAGGAGTCAAGGGAGCCTGTAGACACTAACCAGTGAAACTCCATCCAGAATTGTGAGCGGAGGAGTGCCAGGAAAGCAGCCCCACACTCGCCTGGGTTCCTCCCAGCCAGAGCCTCTTTCCTGGCCTTACAGATGTCCAGCTTGGCCAGAGCCAGGACAAGGTTGACCAGGAGGTCCTGGGACTTGGTGGGGCCATGGGTGGGGAATGCAGAGTTTTCCTTTAGGAGCCTGTACATAGTAATAGTATGTGGTGACCCAGAAGCAGCTTCTCTAAAACAAAGTGTGATTGGCTTTGCCAAAAAGCACACAGTACTTTAAAATGGTACTGAAAATGAGAGTCCTATATGCATTCTGTTTTACCTGCTTTTAGCTTTTGTATCGTTCCCCTAGATTAGCAGGCAGCAGCCTTTTCTGGCTGCCAGCCAGAATGACCCACCTCAGTGCGTCTTCCTGTAGGAGCACAAGGACAGCTCCCATAGCTGAGGTGCCTGCCTGCTGGATGCCACCCAAAGCTCCACATCCACAGGCAGGATCCAATAGCTCTGTGAGCCTGATCTGGCCTGCGAGCCATAGGTTGTTGATCCGTGCCCTAGGTAGAAAAGAAATAACTTGATGTTTGTGTCCTCTGTTACAGCATGCTTGCTAACACTTTCCATGTTATCTGAAGAAATTAGTCTTTTAAGAAAATCATTGTCTTCAGATCTTCCTCTTCTCACCCTTAGTATAACAGCTCTGTGCCCTGATTGTGGCTAAGTCCCTCCTGATGGCTATAAACTCAGGCACTTTGTATGTAGTGATATTCTTTATTCAGGAGATGGTTATTCAGGCACCTTCTCTGCCTGGCTTCTTTAACAACCTCTTTAGATTTAGTGTAATGCATTTAAGCAGGATATGTCATAGAGGTGCATTGAGAACAGGATGATATTTCTTCAGTTCTCCACACTGTGAAAGCACATGGAAACTATTAAAAAAGTTAAGAAATGACTCTTGAGATAAGACAAAAGTTATCAAAGCAAGGAACTCCCAATCATGTGATATAATATGCTAAATATTAGAAACTAAGGACAAGTTATTGAGTGTTTCATCATCCAAACTCTTGCCACTTCCCTTTCACGTATGTAAACATGCTTGGCTCTTACTTTTGAAAACTTGCCACAGTAATGCCTGACCAGAGTTCAGTCAGAACTCATCCTTTTTTTTGCCTCACTATGGTAAATTTGCTTCTTAATGTTTCTAAATGCCATGTCATCCAAAGCAAGGTGAGACACCCCTTCAACTTAAAAAAAAAAAAAAATTAAACATATTATGAGTGGAAATAATATCTACACTGGTTTCCTGTCTACAGCAAAGCCCAATACTGAATATTGTTTTGGGATTTAGCTTGGGGAAGCCTATCTTTCTCTCTCAGATCTAAGGAATCAGAACTTTTGGTAGAGGTGTGATAGCTTTTATTAGACCAACTAGATATTTGCAAAAAAAATACCCCTATATTTGCAAGCTGTCAGACACACACACCCTTCTTCAGGCATAGGAGAGTACAAAGGGTGTAACATTTCTCCTGGGTGGAAATGAAAATTCATATTTTCTGTGAAATATGAATTTTTATTTCCACCCAGGAGAAATTTTACAACCTTTGCACTCTCCTATACCTGAAGAAGGGCGTGTGCCCCCGACAGCTTGCAAGTACAGATTTTTATTTTTATTTATTTTTTTTTTTTGTGCAAATATGTGATTGGTGGGAAAAAAAAAATCACCTCTACCAAGAGTTCCGATTCCTTTTGCCTATAGACCAACACAGCTACAGTCTGTATCCCTCTCTCAGATCCAGTAATTTGTTGTTGTTTCAGATTATATTTCTTTTACAGATTGATATGTGTGTCAGTCTTTTTGCAATAATTTGTATTAAAATGATGTAGCGGAAAATAGGAGTACCATCAGTTTTAACGTTCTGTAAGAATGTAAGTTTTACAAAGTATGTTCAGTGAACTTTAGATCTGTCTGTTAAGCTTATTTGGCATTTTCTTTTCTCACATACATTATTGTGTTCAGTTATAAGGGGCCGGATCATAATATGTGTTTGAGTATGGCTGTAGTAATTACATTTTTTTTCTAACCTACAGCGAAAGAAACAACCTTTTAAAAGAAGCAGAGATTTTACACAAAGCCAGATTCAGTTACATTCTACCAATTCTTGGAATATGCAATGAACCTGAATTTCTGGGTATAGTGACAGAATACATGACAAATGGATCATTAAACCAACTTTTACATGAGGTAAGTTTACAGTGTTTTTCTAAAGTCACATGCATGTAGCTTCTATTTTATTTTAAATAAGTTGTGCTTTTATGTTTGGCAGAAGTAATGTAGTAAACATTTAAAAGGAAATGAAGGCATTAAGTCCTGGCCTACAATTTACTATGGTCAGTCAGCCCCCTGGCATCAATAAAGAGCCTCACTGAAGTCAGTGGAGCTCTCCTTGGGTGCAGCAGTACACCACATTATGCCAACCCTAGTATCAGGATTTTAAAAGAAAAAATACAGGAAAATGAGTGGTGAATTTAAAAATAATTGCAAGATCTCAGTATTTACTAGTAAGTAGAAGCTGGAATGCAAGCTCTAATACCTGAACTTATTTCTGTCCTCCAGAATTATTGGCCTCATGTAAATATGCATTAATTTTCTCTTTACTACAGCCAGTTTTTAGACTAAAGATAATGAGTTTATCTACTTTAGAAATCTTTCTGCCAGCCCAGAGCAGCCACTGTGGTAAACACTCAGAGCACAAGGCACAGTTGCCGTGTCAGCAAAACACTCAGTGTACTGTGGGAGGTACCAGCTTTTAAAGTAGCCAGCAAAAAGTGCAGCACATCTACATGCTCTTTCTGTTAACTTCTGGGTGGGGATAGAAACCTTCTGTTACTCACAGAGGTGTTACTCTGCTAGCAGAAAGGGGTTCTGCTGCCACTAGGGAGCTGTGAGCCTGGATACAAAACTTTAAAGTAGGCCTATGACTCAGTGATGCAAGTCAGAAGTTGTGCATCTAAAAGTAATTTATAATGTGTCTCTGCAGTCACGGCGAGGTAGATTAGCCTGTGCCAAACTCCATGCTGTTGTGACTAGTCAGCTGCTGGTATCCTAGGTAGTTCAAGGTTTATGTATTCCTACATGATGCAAGTCTCTTCTATTGCAGTAGTGTAGGAATACCCTAGGTCTTAAGCGACTCAGTTGTTCATTTTTCATAATGGCATGAGTGAATGATGTAGTTAATGTGTTAATGACCATTTTGAATTTCCTGGCTCTTGAGTGTGTTTCATACCCATTACATTTTAACAAGAGGGCAGTGGTGCCCAATGTCTCTTTGCCCACAGGTCAGGTGGGTGGTGCCAGATCCCTCTGTAGGCCAGATCTGAGCAGTGGGCCTGATCTGGTGCATAGGGCAGATGTGAGGGCTGATCCAACTATGCTGTGGGTGGCTGATCTGGCATATGGGATGGGCAGAGCCAGGGCCCAATATGGCTATATGGTAGGGGGTTTGATACAGTACATGGGGCAGGCTGTAACCAGACCTTGATCTGGCTGTGCAGCAGCAGTCTGACCAGACATGGATCTGATGACATAGCAATGGCCTGGGCCCAACCTGGTCTGATCCAGCCACACGGCAGTGGCCCAGCCCTGCCCCGTGCAGCTTCGAAATTGGGCAGCAGGAAGCAATGGCAGCATTTATTGCCACCTCTCTCCTACCATCACATTTTTTAACCCACAGGGAGTCCCACAAGCCAGATGCCATGGCTCCACGAATCAGATTTGGCCCATGGGCTGGGGGTTGAGTATCTCTGGTGTAGGTTGAGTTTTTGCTTCCACCACTGGCCTGTGGCTGATCTAAGAAATATCACTTTTCTTCTTTGTTCTTCTCTTTTCCCATTTGTTAAATAGAAATACAATATTTGTCATTCTTTTGTTTAGTTTAATGCTTTGGCTCTATGTATAAAAAGTTCTATATTTGAGTTGCATGTACTCATAAACACTAAGTCACATAGTAAATGTGTTGGTAATACAGCCGGCTTGTTCAGTGATCTTGAATCGATAGAGTATAACTGCAAAAGAATGGAAGCACAGTAATAAGTGATTTACTCAAATATAAGACATGGATGTTCTCACCATTCAGCACTGGGGTGGGGGCAGACCATCATGTCTTACATTTGAGTACAGGCCAGGCAAGCAGCTGCTGCGGCTCCAGAGGGTGCTATGGTGGCTCATGTGGCAGGTAGGGGATGTGTGGGAGATCATGGGGAAAGGGTGCCTGGTGTGGGAGGACCTTGGGGGGGAAAAGTGGAATGGAGATTGCAGGGGAAAGGATGAGCAGAGAGAGAGGAGGTTATGGAGGGGGTGCAGGAAAATGACTTGGGGAAACGGACATGTGGAGGATCCCTTCCCCACACCCTTTCCCTGTGCTCCTACCACACCACATGTCCCTTCATCTGTGCTTCACCTACGCCATGTGCCCCTTCCCCTTGTTCCCCCCACACCACATGCCCTTTCCCTTGTGCAGAGAAGGGGCATGTGGTACAGGAGGGAGCACGAGGAAAGGGGTGTACAGCATGAGGGGAGCATGGGGAAGGAGCATGCAGTGCTGTGGGGAGCATAGAGGAAGGGGTTCACAGTGCTGGAAGGAGCACAGGCAAAGGGTGGCTGGGAGAGCATGGATGAAGGGACATGTGGAGCAAGTGGAGTGTGGGAGAAGGGACATGGAAAAAGGGATGCGCAGAACAAGAGGAGCACATGGAAGGGCTCGGGGTGGGGGGAAGGGATGCACAGAACAAGAGGAGCACATAGAAGGGCTTGGGGAAGGGGCATGTGGTACAGAGGAAGCACCAGGAAAGAGACACAGAGCAGGGGGTGTGCAGAGAATGGCCATGCAGAATAGCAGGGGAGCTGCTGTGGCTCCAACCTTGACCCCAACTGGGACTGGAGGGTGAAGCCAGAGCCACCGCTACTGCTTGGCCTGATCGGGTGCTCCATGACAAGTGGTAGGAGGGGCAAGGCACTGTGTGAGGAGGGACAGCAGAGGGGCAGATAGAGGAGCCAAGTGGCAGGGGGTGGGGGGAGGACAAGAGGCATGGGGCAGACTGCCTGCCTCACAGCTGCTGCCTTCCCTGCTAGTACTTTCCCTGTAGCAGTAGTGGGATGGATTAATTTAAGATGACCCTCCAATAACTAGATTATAGACATGAAAATTAAAAGAAATGTACAATTTTTCATGTCTACAATCTAATAATCAGGGGTTTGTCTTAAATTCAGGGTTCTCTTAGATTTGAGTAAATACAATAAATAACACCAGTCAGTCTTGTTGCTTTAATTTTGAGTGAATAAATCAAGCCTTTAAAAAGATCTTCTGTTATTGAAGTAATTTTCCTGTTTTAATAAAATCTTTGTATGATGATAGAAGATTTGAATGGTAGATCATACTTTGCTGATTTCTGTCTATGGTAGAAAAATGTATATCCTCACATCCCGTGGTCACTGAGATTCCGTATGCTGTATGAAATTGCTTTGGGAGTGAATTATCTGCACAACATGAATCCTCCATTGCTGCACCATGACTTGAAAACCCAGAATATTTTACTGGATAATGAGTTTCATGTGAAGGTAAAGTTATTTTAGTCTCTGTGTTCCTCTTCAGTATGCATAGGAGAACTGCAGTACCTCTTAATATTGCAAAAAAGTGAGAAGAGACTGAGTTGTGTAGAAAGACTCCTATCTTGCAGTTAAATCTTTATAGACAGAGTCCAGTGACTGCAGTGAAACTTGGGGTAGACCCAATCAGACTTTAGCTTTCTGGCTTTAGTAGCGACCTGACTTTCCATAACTGGGACCTTTGTGACATGATGTACAGGGAAAAGAAATGTAGTTAGTAGATGTTTAATTCAGTTTTTGAAAATCTTGGATATCTGAAGGAAGATACTAAAGGAAAATAACCAAATTAGCTCAGAATCAGAAGTGTTTTCATAGGTACAGTTGCATAAACATATTAGGGGTGCTGTTATAAGACAACTGTAAGATATGCAAATGTATGTAAATGATTGGAGAAGAATCACAATGGAGAAGAATTAGTGATATAATGACTTAATGCAAGAAATAAAACTGGTCTAATATTCATGAGTGGTATCAGTTTCACAGGATTGTGACCCCTTCTGAAATCACCTACTGTTCCGGTTTCTCAGGCCCATTCCTAGAAGTTGCATTATGTGATATAATGTCCATAGTCTAGACACAGGGGTGCTTAATAACATTAAACTGTAGCTCCATAACACACATTCTTGGTTTCCAGAAGCATAGGAACTCAGAATAGAAGCTTTCATCTTTTGTTTATCTTTATATTTTTCCCTTAACACAAAGGAAAACACAAAATGATTTGAGAAAGTCTCTTAACTTTAAGGGTTTGTGCCATTTATAGTTTTTGGAAATTATAATGCATAGATAAAGACATTACAATATCGGTGGTGAAAAATCCACTTTTTATAATTTGAATAGACAAATAAAACTTTCTTGCAATTTTTTTATTGTTTTATTGTTGGACATTTGAAATGAAGGATCTGAAAAAATACAGCTTTACAGTAACGAGTTCATTTACATAGATAATATGTAACTATTAATATTATATAAATAAGTACAATTACATCTTTCTGTAGATTCTTTGTTTGAAAATCTATTGCTGCTTTGCTATTAGAAAGCACTAGTATTTTGATCTGCCTGTGTGTGAAATAAAACAGGCTAAGATTTTACCTTCTAGTCGGGGATGGGGGTTGGGGGGGAGGGACAGAAGCAGTGATACTAGACAGATCTATCTGATGCATGTTATTAGAAAAAAAGAGAGATGTGTCTAAAATATGTATCTGTCATGCACTGTGTCTCCATCAGATATTCTAAATGAATAAGATTTCTGAGGGCATGCTCTTGAGTTTACATGTGAGGTCTGGCACAAGGAAGTACAGCACAGAAAATAATTTTTAAAACTGTTCCTCTCCCCCAAAGATGTCAAAAGCTAATTCTTGCAAATTCCCTTATTTTATGAGAGAATCTGTTTCCTTTCATAAATATCATTTTTCTTATCACTTTCCCTGCACAAATAGTCTGTGGCCCAGAGAGAAACGGGCTCCATGAAAATAATGATTGACTAATCCTATTTTAGTAATAATTGCTTTTTACTCTGTGTGTGGTGTTTTGTGTTTTCACAGCATATTCTCATGTGAAAATCATGTTCATATATCTCGGCTCTTGCAATGTTATCCAGTAGTGGTGTTCAGAGTCATTTTCTTCTTGTGTGTCAGGAAAGTGGAAAGCTTGTCGAGTGAGCTTTGTGTCCACTGCACCCCAAGCTTTGGCTGTTTTGTTGGGGTCTACCTTTCTGGTTCCCACTTCTTCATGGCCAAAACTTGAGCTCCTGTCTCTTGGTCCCTGACACCTTGGTACCCAGCTCCATGTAAAAGTGCAGGGCATGTCCATTGTATGCTAATTAACTCTGCTACCTAGGAAAGGTTAGGGAGCCAGAGGCAGTTTCAGCAGGGAGCACCTGTTTTCAGGAAAATGGTGCATTTTGCAACAAAAATAATAGAAGAGTGTCTGAGAGGATCTAAATTACCCCATTCTGCAAACTAAGATAAACAGTGCTGCATCTTCTTATACTCGTGCTTTCAAGATTTTCTTCCTTATCCTCAGGGCTAGGTACAGGGTGGGTAAATGCAAGCTGAGATTGTGAAGAACAGTTTTTCAGCAAGCAGAGAATGCCATGGCACCAGAATACACATGGGATAAGACTAATACTCTGGGGTAGCACAAGCCCTGGATCAGGGCTGATGTTTCATGTTGCTAGTAAGACATATATACCCTTTTATGATAACTTTTAACAACTTCTGAATTGATGAGGTCTGTTCTCTCTCTCTGTCTCCGAATGACTGACTTTTGTCCTTTTCCAGATTGCAGATTTTGGCTTATCAAAATGGCGCATAGTGTCCATGTCACAATCACGAGGTGACAAGTCTCTGCCAGAGGGAGGGACTATTATTTACATGCCTCCTGAAGACTATGATCCCAATCAGAAAACCCGTGCAAGTGTAAAGCACGATGTATACAGGTACTGCCTGTTATCCTAAAATCAGCTTAGCAATTTGAAAAGTAAAATTTGTTAAAGGATTTTGACCATAATGAACTAGAATAAATTATTTCTAAGAGTCTAAATGGGTATGATATGACTTCTTAAAACCTGTTTTCCTGGTAAACTTTAGAGTAAGTATAATATTTAGCTCTAGAGATTAACCACGCAATGTAGACACAATGGATTGATTGACAGATGACCAGAAGAAGGGTGCATTGTATCCAGAAGCTTGTCACACTTCTCTCCTGGCTATATAGCAGATCCAATAAAAGATACTGCATGAAAAACCTTGCCTCTTAACGGTTGACATTTTTGAGACTTCTATCTGGAAGGGGGCAGGGGATCAATAGTAAGCTTTCATGAGTAAGATCTGGTTTCAGTTTGCTAAGTCAAAGCTTTGGCTTCCTGCAAAAGAAAACATTATCTCTCATTATTAGCTCCTCCCTTTAAGGTACAGAGGAAGTCTTGGCATTTCTGGAATCCCCAGAGGGAGAGAACATTCCTGCCACGCTCAGCTTTTGAGAGGTGTGGCAAGATGAGGAGACAGAAGAGACTCACTGGGAAAGCAGGAAAGGGAGCTATCATTGTAATATCCTAGAAGCCTTCTGCTGCTTGTTCTTATTATAAGTATGCACTGTTTGATATTTTAATTTAATTTAAAATTAAACATGAACTTATGACAAACTTTTTTGAGCTAAACGATCTATAAATAATTTTAATTTAAATTGACCTATTTTTAAATAGATGGATTTTTTGTTTCAGGACTCTTAAACTAAATTTGATTTAAATAAAAAAAAAATCTTTGGTTTGATATTTTAAAATATTGACTTCGATATTTGGATAATAGAGTTCTTTTAAGACCAAACCTGTTCCTTCTTCCATTGAAGTGAATAGGGAAAAATGTCATTAAAGTGTAGGTAAGCAGGCTTAGACTAGGATGATCTCCTCTTATAGCAAGTATTGTATGAAAAATGACACAGTATCATATGGAAATCATCATTCTGGATATACTGAGAGTTTCGGATACATGCACAAATCCAAATGCTTGTGTTGAAAAACTTTTCACGCGTGAGAGGTCTTCATAACAGCTGTGGAAGAGGAATCTGCCTTCTATTCTCACATGTCCATAATCAGTAGAATTAACTAAGTTCTGATTGTGGGACTGTTTCCCCCTCATTGCCCTTTGCATCCCTTTAAAGGTTTTAAACGTGCATAAAACATAGTAGTAGCACAAGTGTAGCAGATCATAGCCTGTTGAATTGTTAGTACTGGAAAATAAATCCTCTTAAACTTGGAAGTCCCTGATGTGTTAGAAGAGCTAGAAGTCAGTTTCAAGCAGCAATGTTTTCGTGACATTTTGATATGCAGTCAGAGACTAAAAAGTAGGCCCAGTTCTTTAATTTTCCAGAAATCCATGTAACCATCAAACACAAAGTAAGCACATGGCACATTGCTTTTTACTCACGTAGAAATATTCCTGTTGGTTTTCATGAAATATATGAAATGGGGGGCATCATTGTAATCAGGTGTTTAAATGACTGTTGGGCTAGTTTATTTTCGTGTATATTGTACAAAGCTTAACATATTAGCAGTGCTTAACATTGTTCTAAAACTACATACATTTATACTTGAAACAGCTATGCCATTATTGTGTGGGAAGTGATGTCAAGAAAACAGCCCTTTGAAGGTAAGAATGTATTCTATAGCATTTGTTTATTTTCTATTCTTATTGAGATATAGCTAGAGCTGATATGTAGTAATTGCAAAGCTCCATAAGGATTAATTTGTGATAAACTGGTTTTTTTTTTAAACTGTGAAAGAATAGGTAGCTGTTTTTCAAACTTTTCAAACAGGTAACAGAACCAGTATTTTTTATGTACTGTACAAACTTACTCTTGAATTAATGTTATAAACAACAAAATGCCTAAATACAATAAATGCAGTTTTGTTATTCTATAGTAAACTAGATCTATTTGTAGTAAAAATATTTCTAATAAATGCATGATATCTGTTTTGACAGAAGTTATAAACCCCTTGCAGATTATGTTCAGTGTGTCACAAGGAAGGCGACCAGACACAAGTGAAGACAGTCTACCAGTGGACATTCCTCACCGAACATTTGTGCTAAACTTAATAGCAAGTGGATGGGCACAAAATCCAGATGAAAGACCTTCTTTTTCAAGTTAGTTTACTTGCTTCTGATTGACAGGGGAGAAGGGAGTGCTTCAAAAAACAGTAATAGATAAATCTACATGGCTAATGCAGATAGGTTAATGTTGTTTCAGGACTCTTAATATCTGTGGTTCTCCCTTTGTGTAATTCAGTGGGGATCACCTTTTTGGCAGGCATGCCACAAATTAAGCCCCATGCCCCCTCCCCCACTCCCAAGTACCACTCCATTCCCCTTCCCCTGTCTGACTTACTGCTCTGATTTCTTCTCCCTGCCCTGTGCTCTGTGTTTTGATTTCGCTTCCTGATGCTGCTGTACTGCCTGGCCCCTTTCAGTCTGCTGCATGCCACACAAAGGCTTCCCATGCCACTTGTGACACTCGTTTCACAGGTTGGCCATTTCTGTAATTAACTGTGTATTGGCAGAAGGCAGGGAAGCGATGCATGTTACAGACTGACTGAATCAGAGATGCATAAGAGTTCATGAGCAAGAGCTCACTTCATCAGATGTTAAAGGACATGTCTACGCAAGCTGCATAAGATCCCAAAAACATATGCATCTCTGATTCATTTATCAATAATCACAGAGAATCATAGAAAGTTAGGACCAGAAGGGACCTCCGGAGATCATCTAGTCCAGCTTGCAGCCTGAAACAGGATCATTCCTATCCAGGCAATCCTAATCTAAACCCTACATAAGACTACTGAAACCCTGACACGACACAGACCTAACACCCTAACATGTCACAGGTAAAGCAGGGGAACTGTAGCAGCCAATGTCCAGTTTCTATGAATTGTTGTCTATATATGCTTGAAATTACAGGTAGAGGGCCAGCTTCCCACTACTGAGGAAGGCAGACCCCCCCCCACAATACATGCCAATCTGCCCATAGGGTAAAATTCCTTCCTGACCCCAAATATGGCAGTCAGTTTGACCCTGAACAGAGGAGCAAGACCCTCTAGCCAGGAACCTCTGGCTTTGCCCCCAGCAGGAGCATTAGCACACCCCGGTCAAAGTCCCCAGCCTTGGCTGTGGCCAGAACCCAGTGCCTCTGAGGGAGGCTTAAAAATATACTGACACATGTAGCAGAAAAGGAGAGAGAGGGGGACAACCAGCAAAGCCCAAAAACATGGGAAATACCCATAGTAGAACATAGGCATAGCTATACCTAGATCATCCCTAACCAGTAGCTATTCAGCCTCTTCTTGAACACCTTTGGTGATGGAGAGTCCACAACTTCCCTAGGTAGTGATTTCCACTGCCTTGCTGTTCTAACTGAAGACATTTTTCTAGATATCCAATCTAAACTTACTTTGCTGCAACTTCAAGCCATTGGTCTAGGTCCTCCTCTCTGCAGCAAGAGAGAAAAGGTGCTTTCCCTCTTCTTTATGGAAGCCCTTCGAGTATTTGAAGACTTCTGTTACGTTCCCTCTTAAGCACCTTTTCTGCAAGATGAATATGCCTCCTTCAGCCTCTCCTCATATGACTTACTTTCCAAGCTTGTTATCATCTTTGTTGCCTGTCCCTGGGTCATATAAAGGTCCATCTCTACCCTGACTTGTGCCTGACTTCAGACTCTCACTGCTAACTAGCTCTCCTCTAATATTACGTAATAGAGGTGCACCAGTACATCGGTCCCATATCATATCGGCACCGATAAAAGGAAAATTGACGTTATTGGCAATTGGCTGCTTTTTACTGATGTGGCCTATAATGTTGCCGATGAATACCACACGCAGACAGGCAAGAGCACAGCCTGGCAGCATGGAGAGCATAGTCTGGCTAGTAAGTTTGTTGTGGGAGAAGAGGCGTGGGGAAAGGGACGGGGATGGGGGGCAGATTGAGCCCTTGGGCATGGGGAAGCTCTTTGAGAAAATTATCCAGGAGCACATCTGTGAGGGAGCAGCAGGGGAGATTATGCTTAGGGGCAACGAACATGGGTTCATTAAGGGCAGGTCCTGTCAGACCAACCTGGTTGCCTTCTACATGGGCCACCAATGTGAGGATGTGGTCAGTAAGGCTAACCTCACCTTGTCGTGCATCCACAGATGCATCACGAGCAGGTCCAAGGAGGTGATCCTCCCCCTCTATGCGACATTGGTCAGGCCGCAGTTGGAGTACTGCATCCAGTTCTGGGCACTGTGCTTCAGGAGGGATATGGACAGCATTGAGGGGGTCCAAAGGAGGGCCACTCACATGGTCAGGGGCAGCAGGGCAGGCCCTATGAGGAGAGGCTATGGAACCTGAACCTGTTCAGCCTTCACAAGAGAAGGCTGAGAGGCGATCTGGTGGCCATTTATAAACTTACCGGGAGGAGCAGCGGCGAATGGGAGAGTCCCTGTTCCCCCGAGCACTACTGGGAGTAACAAGGAATAATGGCCACAAATTGGCTGAGAGTAGGTTCAGGCTAGACATCAGGAAGCACTACTTCACAGTCAGGGCAGCTAGGATCTGGAACCAACTTCCAAGGGAAGTGGTGGTCGCTCGTACCCTGGGGGTCTTCAAAAGGAGATTAGATAATCACCTCGCCGGGGTCATTTGACCCCAGCGATCTTTCCTGCCCATGGCAGGAGGTCAGACTTGATGACCTGCTCAGGTTCCTTCCGACCCTACCAACTATGAAACTATGAGGCCCTCACAGTGAGGGAGGGAGTGGGGCTGGGGCAGGGGCAGGTGCTATACAGCCGGGGTGGGGCACAAGATGGAGCCTGAGCATCTCATGTGGGGGGGCGGGGGGGGGCACCTGTTGCTGCACACCTCCCAGGAAGGCATGGGAGGTCGTGTGCCCCCTGATCTGTGTACGGGGCAACAGTGGGCTGTTGCTGCGGGCTGAGGCCGGGGTGGCACCGGGCTCTTCCCAGTGTGGGGGCTGGGCCGGGCTGCACCCAGGGCAGGCAGTAGCAGCACTGGGAGGGGACTATGGGGTGGGCTACAGCCATCCTAACATTGACTGTAGCCCCCCTCCCAGCGCCACCACCACCCGCCCTGAGTGCAGCCCGGCCCAGCCCCTCTGCCAGGAAGAGCCTGGCATCGCTGCCCCCAGCCTGCCCTTGCCCTTCACACAGATCGGGGGTGGGGCACCCCCCTCCCTTGCTGGGGCACGTGCAGCAGCAGGAGCGACCGCCCCCCAGCATCTCCCAGATGAACTGCTCTCATGGCTCCCTGTCCCACGCCCTGCCTTGCCCCAGCTGTGCAGTGCCCACTCCTGCCCCATTGCCAGCCCCACTCACTCCCTCACCATGGGTGCCTCGATCTGCCCCCCAACACCTCATCCTTCCCCTATGTTCCTTCCTCTACAACAGACTTACCAGGTGGACGCTGCTCTCCGTTCTGTCGGGCCACATATCGGCAAACGGCCATCGGTATCAGCCCCAAAAATCCCTATCAGTGCACCCTTATTATGTAATGTTAATATTGTTTACTTGCAATTAATTTTTTGTTTATTATTGAAGAGGGAGTTTAACTTTTTAAGAAAAAAGATAATGTGGCTTATAGACCTTGTAAGCAATCAGAACTTCTTTGCTTGCCAGACTAACAGACAGCCCTGGATTATAAATGCCCATGAATCAACCAAACTGACCATTCGTTGTTGTTGTTTCATTAGCTGACTTAATATTTTGTGAATAAATATAAGTTCCTTGAAACAAATCATAGTATCATAGTTGGTAGGGTCGGAAGGGACCTGAGCAGATCATCAAGTCTGACCCCCTGCCATGGCAGGAAAGAGTACTGGGGTCAAACTACCCCGGCAAGGTGATCATCTAACCTCTTCTTAAAGACCCCCAGGGTAGGAGCCAGCACCACTTCTCTTGGAAGTTGGTTCCAGATCCTAGCCGCCTTGACAGTTATGTAGCACCTCCTGATATCTAGCCTGAATCTACCCTCTGCCAGCTTGTGACCATTATTTCTTATCACTCCTGGTAGTGCTTGGAGGAACAGGGACTCCCCCAATGCCTACTGGTCCTCTCTGACTAATTTGTGAACAGCCACTAGATCCCCCCTCAGCCTTCTTTTGTGGAGGGTGAAAAAGTTCAGGTCCCGTAGCCTCTCCTCGTAGGGCCTCCCCTGCTGACCCCTGATCGTGCGAGTGGCCCTCCTCTGGACCCTCTCCAAGTTGTCCACATCCCTCCTGAAGTGCGGCGCCCAGAACTGGACGCAGTACTCCAACTGCGGCCTGACCAGTGTCGCATAGACGGGGAGGATCACCTCCTTGGACCTGCTTGGGATGCATCTGTGGATGCATGACAAGGTATGGTTGGCCTTCTTGACCACGTCCCCACACTGTCGGCCCATGTTCATTTTGGAATCAATAATGACTCCAAGATCCTTTTTTGCCTCTGCACTGATGAGAAGGGAGTTCCCCAGCCTGTAGGTATGCTGCTGGTTCTTCCTCCCCAGGTGCAATACCTTGCACTCGTCAGTATTGAAACCCATCCTGTTCTCATCCACCCACCCCGTAACCTGGCCAGGTCCGATTGCAGCCCCATTTTTACCCCCTTCGTCAGTGGGGGTAAAAAAAATCAGTGGGCAATAAAGTTGTGAGTAGAAACTACCCCACTCTAGAATGAAAAATTGCTTACAAAGGCCATTTCAACCCTGATTAAATCTAACTCTTGTCTTCCATTGTGCAGTAATTCCACTACCAAAGGGACTTCACACCTAAACAAGTGGCAGTTGGTTGTGTCCTAACAGCATCCCTATAAAACTAAAAAATTCTTCAAAATCCATAGTCCTGTTAAATCCTGAATTAGTTTGTTTCAAACCATATAATGAGGGCTGTATCCATCCAGATTTCAAACATGTCTTCAGCAGTGTTGTCAAAAAATTAGGTTGGGAAGGGGGGTGGGGTTTACAAAGGAAATGGCACCTTCTGGGTTTCTCCAGTCCCTTAATTTTTTTTGGTTATACCTTCTCTCACTTTACCTTCTAGAGGACTGACCCAAAGCATAAGAAGTGAATCTAAACTGAATATTTTTTGATAGTTTAATGTAGAGAGATAGTTTACTATAATACAAATTGTTTGGCACACTCTGCTGTATTGGTCTCTGCCACCAATTGCAATAATAATTGGAAGCTAATTGGTTTTTTTAAAATAAATAGCATATAGCAAAATTATAGTTGTCCTAATGAGTTGTAATATAAAAACAAGGTCTCACTCCAATTAATAAATCTCTCTACTTTATCTCTCTGTGACTTTTCTCAAATTTTTCTATGAAATCATGACTTGAAGCTTTTTACAACATGGGGGGCTGAGCTCAGAATGCAGACATGATATATGACACCTCCTATAGATTAGAGAAGGAAAAATGAGGAGGAGGAATTTTGGTATTGGTTTTTATAAATATTCGTCAGGTTGCGTCTTTATCAAAAGAGTGGCTTATATCTGGGTTCGCTTTGCATTATGGTTTTCCTCCATCCTCCAAAACTTAGCTCTTCATGGGGTTTTTAGCTCCAACTTTAGCACCTCTTGAATGTTGTTTACATTCTGAGTAGCAGAATTTAAAGACTGACTTTTCATAACCTTGCTGTGAGTCTGAAAACTTGGCTCATCCAGTGAACATTTACTCGTGAACATTGTGCATTTGAATAACGCAGGCCAAGTGTTATGACCTGTATTGACCACCAACCCACCCAGCTTGTGCATGTGAAATTTGTGGCTGAAGCTCCCACCTTTGAAAAATGTGATCCAGGATGTCAGATTATCTTCTAGAAGAAAAAGTATTAAGCTTAAAATGTACAATATTAAAAGATTGTTTTTTCTTTTCCCCCTTCCACTTGACACTGATAAGGCTAGGACTGCAGAGTGATGCTGGGGTAAAAAAATCTGCGTTTTACAGGTGTTATCACAGTGAATGGGTCAAAAGTTGATCCTCTTTTTCTGTACGAAGCACTAACCCTTCACCTTCCAAATTGAGGGTTTCAACCATCTGAACATTTCTGTTTCAAGTTGGGTGAACCAGTCCCTTAATTTCATTGGTAGCTCTATTCTTTTTAGCCAAAAACTGTGAGAAAAATTATGGGGCATGCTTGTGTCTGCAGTCCAAACAAACACATTGTCCTGGTGAATAGCAGTAAAGGATGATTTAATCTAGTTTGTGAGATTCACTAGTCCTTGTAATTAGATAGGTGAATTATGTTTTTAACATTAGGGAACATTTTGATAAATACCATAAATTATAGGGTCCAATTTCAGGTCAGTTTCTTTTAACCCAGTGAAGGAATATTTCATATCAGAGTTGTTTCTAAAATCAGGGAGATATTTATATACTGTTGTTCTTTGTGGGAGCTCTTACCTTCTTGCATTAGCTAAAATATACCATGTAGTTTTAGCATAATGTTGTCTAACAATAAAGGACTAGAATTATCAGATAGTTATCATTTTGTTTTAACTATATTTATTTGCATTATAAAATCAATAAAATAGGTGCCTTAATGTAACAGCAATGCAATAAGTAACCTTCCCCACCCTCCTCCCGCCCCCTTTTTCATTAAAATAACTAGGTAGGATTTTTTTCCTGTTTAAAGTGTGTTTATTTTTGCTGCTGTCTTATGGTAAAGTGGAATTTCCCATCCAGTGGACTTTTACTTCCTTGATTTTGCAATGCTTATTACAAGCATTAAGAAGTTTAGTTTGTTGCTTCCTCCTTCTATTTAATAGTAAACTTGGGGAAATACTGAGGTACCTCTTCAAAGAACATTTGTTATATTGCCTCTTAATTTACATGATAGTAGTGTTGTAAAACAAGCAAAAATCTAAATCAACTTTTAGTTTGAAAGTAAGACCAATTAAAAATATTATCGCTTAGTATTACCAAGCAATGGATTTTTCTTTTAGTTAACTGTGTTTTCCTCTCAAGACTTCTTTGTACAGCTCATTATGATTCTAGGAATTATACATAGATGTGAAAAAATATGTCCCTTCATTTCTACAGATTCCTGCTTTAAAACACAATTTGATCTACAATGTGTGTTATTAAACAGCTTCCTAGTTTTCTAATTTATCTTTAAATGGTTCTATAGATCATTTTGCTAACTTTCTATAAAGTATTGTTTCAACGATGATTTGTAATTATATTGGATCTTGATATGTGGTTTGCTGTCAAAATGACTGTCACCAGTACAGTTGTTATATCATAACTTGCACAATTTAAGCTTAGAATTTGATCCATGTTGAAGATTTTTTGTGGGAATTCTATTTGCTGTAAATACAAAGATTTCACAACACTGTTGCAAAGTTGGTTTCTGTTTTCGTTTCTTTAAACCAGCTGTTGTTGCACTATGTTGGATGTATGCCGGACGAGCATTTTTATGGTCTTTTTCTCTCTCTGGTGACTATGCAGCAGCACTCTACAACTGCTTTTCCACTTTTGTGGAAGACACAGTTACTCAAATAAGAAAATGCTTTTTCTTTTTAGAAATGTATACTGGCTATACTGGAAAAGCTAGAGAGAAAGTCAGTGTTAGAAAAAAAAATACTTGAAAGGAAAAAATGGTTGTAAATTTCACAGGAATACTACTGAATAAATTAGAAAAGATACAGGGCCATATTATTTAATTAATTAATCAGTGGTATGTTGCCAAGTCATGTTTCTTACCTGGTCCACAGTATTTAACAGTTCCCTTTTAACAAAAGCATACAGTATAATGTATAAAGGTAGTGAAAGCTGTAGGGGTACACAGAACTTACAGTTTGCTCAAATATAACTTTTCTTGGTGTTGAGCTCAGTTTAAATGGGACTTTTAAAACTCTTTGACTACTGTGGTGTTCATTAAAAAACAGAAATAGGTTTGAGTGTGGCACTTTCTGCTTCCCAATTATTAAAATGCCATGTGCATCTTTAGATAAGTAGGTGACATCAGTTTTCCAGCTATGCCCATCTGCCACCTTCAAGAAGCATGATAAAAATAGCATTTGGATTTATTGGATATGGTAGGACATTACATTCACTACCACTACCTTGGCCTAGCTTCATAGCCATGAATCTCTGGATGAGGAAAGTAAAGGTCAGAGGGGAGTGGAGGGATGAGTAATTTTGCTTTGGTGATTTGGCAGTTCCTATTAGCTTCTCCCTTAGGAATCTGATCTTTGTCTCTTTCTTTTTGTATCTTGCCCAAACTGTAGAGTAACCCACACAAACCCCCCAGGAAGCTCCAGCTCTTAATTTTAGACTCTTTTGGATCACTGCTGTGCTGTTTTTCCAGTGTACTAAGAAAGCAGGCATTTCTCTCCAAAACTAGTGCTGCATCATGGTCCAACTATAAATTGTTCAGTCCCTACCCTGGAGAACTGAACGGTTTGCACTCCTCATCTGATGGAGGCCATGCTCTTAGAGCTAAGCAGAGAGCTCCCTTGCTGTAGTATTGATGGTTTAAGTGGCCTTTAGGTGAGATTGTGTGAGTCTGGCATCCCAGGGGTGTGTTTTGAAATGGTGAATGCAAGAAATATTTGCTTAACTGCCTATGTGTTCTGACATCTTCTATTAGTAGAGGAAATATTTTCATAAATGAGAATTAATATTCCTTATCGGGTGGGGAAAAACAAAAAAGCTTATAGAGCAGTTGACAAATTTTGCAATATTAAAGGGACAAGAAAAAAGGGCTTATTTCAATTTGTTGCTGCAAACCAGAGTTATCTTATGAGGGAAAAGACTTCAAGCAACTTGAAACTTGCAGTTACTTTTATTAGAAGGTGCTGTTAAACTGAAAGGTTTTTTTTTTCTTTTTTAGAATGTTTAATAGATCTTGAACCAATATTGAGAACGTTTGATGAAATATCTATGCTTGAAGCAGTGCTTCTGTTGAAGAGAGCTAAGGTAACTAGTTTTTTATTTACAGTCTTTTATGAAAGTCTTTGAAACAGCAGCCTGTGCTTATCCAAATAAACTTAATCACAGTGTAACATGCTGATGTGAATTTATGCAGTCATGTCCTATAGCTTTCTAATGCACAATTAATAAAAAATACAAATGTCTCTTTCAGTTGCATTATGAGTCGGCATGTATTCGCTTATGCCAAAAGAAAAACAATGTGGAGCTGACATCTCTAAACATACCTTTGACTCTTAGTCCACAAGAGGTAAATCTTTAGTGTTTTGAGTTCAATCTGTTTCCCAGTATGTTGTGAAAATATGCTGAAAGAGTTGTAGTTCAGTAAGAAGGAATCTGTTCTTCCATTCTCTTCTGCAGCTTGCCTTCCTACTCGGCCACGGAATCATTCAATGCAGGGGAACTAGCAGGGTCAGGAGGGCATGCAGCAGAGGGGAAGTCTGTAACCTCTGCACATCGCAGAGCAGACCTTTTCACCATTTGTATATGGAAATAGTTGCAGATGGCCCAAAGAAGCTGGGAGATCCAGCCAGTTATAAACTTTGCGACTGAGGAACACATCTACCCTTGAAGGGGAGTGTAGTTGTTTGCCTCACTGAGTGCTCTGTGTACCAGCTAATAGGAGTCTGTCCCACACCTTGTATGAGATGGCTTATACAAGGTACTGTGGCTGTTTTTGAATTATTCTCCCTTAGTTTTTTTTGTTTTTGTTTTTCTTTTGCTCATGCTTATCATTATGGACATAAAGGCTTGGGTTAGATGGTGGGAAAATATGATAAAACTTCAAATGATTTAAGATATTTTAATTGTCAGTGACTTGACCATCTTGATAGGACAGAAAAAGAGGGAAATGATAAGGATCTCTATTTTTTTTTTAAAGTTTTACTTATATATAATGGCATTTTATTTCAGGAAACGTGTGTTCCTTCCATGCAAAGTGATGCACTTCCTCTCCGAAGTTTCTTGCCTGAAATACCAAGACATGGGAGTTTGCCCAAATATAATGTCCTCTCATCAGGTATGCAACCTTGCTGAATCGTATTGATTCATAATATTTTATTAAAGTTGACTTTCGATGAAAGTTGCAACACTGAATGGTAGATAACTCGATTACCTAATGACATGAAAATAGAGGTGCATTTTTCATGGCTAAGCTTATGGCTGTGAATCATGTATTCATGAGCTCTAGCTATGCCTTGATACTTGGAATCCTTGGCCAGTTTCTGAACTTCTCTGGCTCTGTTTTCCTAGTTGCAAACATGGGAATAATGATACTGTTTGCTTGTCTTGCAGGACTCTTGGGAATGAAAAAGTTACTTGTAGCATGAAGATTGAAAGGTTAAGAATTTTATTTAAAAAAAATAAGTAACACCTCAGTATACTAGAAACTTTCAAGATGCAGTCAAGCTTAGGGTCTGTCCCATTTTTTCTCATATCATGGTTATAATACAGACACACCAGATTGGAGGTGTGCCTGCTCAGATTTGTTTTATTTAACAACCTCATTCAAATGATTTTGAAGTTGGTTTAATAGGAAGTTGGCAAAATTCTCAGATGAAACTAAGTTGTGAGATATTGCAGATGCCGCTTAAGTCAGCAAAACGCAGTGAGATCTAGAGGGAGTAGCAAAGTGACTTGCATCTAAAATTGAGATTCAGCTTAGAAAAAGAAAGATTGGTGTGCTTATTAGGAGGAAGAATCTGGTAACCAGTAAAGTTCACAGAGTAGTTGACATTACGTTGCCCTTTAATATTGCAACGTCAGGGCCTAATGTAATGATGCTGCAAACCAGAGTCGTCCTGTCACAGGGAAGTGTTAGGAAATAGTCTCTCTTTTTCTGCAGCTCTAGTGCAAAAGCACGTGGTGGGGACCACTTGGGGAGAAATTTGACTCCATTCTTGAGTAAATACTAAAAATGTGTTGATGTTCAGAATTCAGAGGAAAATGAAGATCACTACAGGCTTTGAGGAACTGAGTTATGAGAAATTTTAAAAAGTTAATCACGCTTCATATTTAGTTATCAGAAAAAGGGTCTATGCAGAAACTTGATTATGAAAGTTTCATCACAGAGTCTGAAGATAAAGTGCCTATGATGATTGTTTTGACCCTTTTAGCTCTATTTGACAGAGTCAGCTGAAAGATATTATTGACACATCCATGACATTTTTCGAGTGGCTCTGGTTCTCTCATTGTAAGAGGTCACAGGAGAGGGTTTTATACAATTATTATTTACTTTGGTGGTATTCTAAGGCATTAATTTGTATCAGACCCCGAGTGTGCCACAGAAGCACCTTACAAGTGTTAGAGGTCTGCCTTAAAGTGTAGACAATCTGCCTTAAAATCAGGCAGGCTTAGAAGACAAGACACTTATACTCATGGCAAGGAACAGAGTCAAAACTAAATTATAATTTGTAAGCCATTTTATCATTTGTAATGATTAAAATTGACTGCTGTGAGATGCTTTTGCCTTAACTATGTAAGGGTTGGTTGATTTATTTTAAGCCACATGATTGAAGGATGCTAATAGCCCTTTGCTGTCATGAGGAGTAATTCATCCCAGTGTATTTTTTTTTTAAACTGAACATAACAGTAAGACATTAATTATTTTCCCTCTGTTTTGAATAATCATCACAGGCTGAATATGTTTCCACCTTTGTAATCAGTTTCAGCCATGCATTAGCAAAATGCTACCTACCATTTGGAAGTTACGAATACTGCAAGGAATGTTTTGTTATAAAGTAATCCTTTGGAATTGCTTTTTTTCTTAAGAAAATGGAACCATGTCCCTTTTCCTTGAATTTTCCCAAACTTACATTGAAACAAATTATTTCCTTTTGAAATGTTCCTGTGAAATGATGTACCGTTTTTATGCCTACACCAGTTAATGTGACCATATAAATTCTAGGGTTTTATCGTCCTTTGTGATACTGCATCAGGGTAAAACTATTACCACGCTTATTACTGCAGCTGCTTCTCAATTTTGGTTGCTTTCTATAGTCAGTCAGTTCTATAGTTTAATTGAATTTTTCATCTAGCATTCAGTTTGGTCAAAGTAAGTATTCAAATTTCTGTTTTCCCATGAATTATAGCAAAGGACATATGACTGAAAAACTTCCAAAGACATGGAGGTCAGCCCTCTGCTGTTGTTGGCAAGCATGTCAAGTAATCGCATTCATAAATTAATCAACCCACATTTTTAAACTAATTATGTTTAAACTGTATCCTATTAGATGCAGATCCAGATTTTAAGGCAGATTGTAACTACCTCTCATGGTTAGAAACTTCTTGTTTCCAGCCTAAACTTATTCATGCCCAGTCAATATCCACTTGTTTTTATGTCAACATTGTTCTGGGCTTTAAAAAATTTCTCTCCCTCTGTCCTTCTTCAGCCCACATTTTGTGAAGCCAAACAAGCCAAGATCTTTTAGTCTCCTCTCCTGTGACAGGCTTTCCATGCCTATGATCATACTCATAGTCCTTCTCTGTACGTATTTTATTTTCATCTTTATTGGTTATGGATGACCAGACTTGTACATAGTAGTGTTAGAGTGATGTAGCCGTACGCTGAATTTCCAGATGAGGTATCAACAGAGCCTTATACATAAACATTAACTTTTCTCTATCTTTATAGAGGATACCTCAACTGATGCATCCTAGGATTACACTTGCATTTTTCTTAGCTGTACTACATTCATGGATAGTCATAGTCATTCTATGATTGACTAGTGTAACCAGATCTTTCTCCTTTCTGTTATTTCCAACTAAGATCCAGTTTATGGCAACTAAGATCCAGTTTCTGTTATTTCCAACTAAGATCCAGTTTCTTGTAGTTCTGTAATGCTTGACCCTATGATTTCTACTACTCAGTTTCATCCCTTTTGTTACTACAGTCTCAAAACCATTCAGTTCTTCCTCAGTAATATATTTGGATACCTTCCAACTTTGTCATATAATATATTCAGATGCCTCCTTCATGTTGCTGATGTGTCCCAATCTTGTCATCAGCAAATTTAATTAACTAGTCTGTGCTTTTTGTGCCAAGACCATTAATGAAAAAATATTAAATAAAATCAGTCCCAAAGACTGATTCTTGAGAACTTCCCTAAAGCTGGTTCATTCAAAGGGGCCCATTCTCATTTTCTCTTAAGCCAGTTTAAGTTGTTTCTTACAATTTCTCTTCCAACTCTCATTTTCTAATAATTTATCACATGGTACTAACACAGATCTTTTACTCGTGTCCAGATATATTAATCTTCCACATGTCCCATCTTTAATATCTTCTGGTTCCAAAAGGGGGTTGTACATCTGTCCATATCTGAAACACACCATTTTTGAAGCACTTCAGTGTGCTGCAGCATTTGAAGTACATTAAGTGTTATGTCTATCCATACTCTCAAATTTCACCCTTATGAAATCAAAATCTCTTATCACTGGTTTTTGCTTATCCTTTTAGAATTAGGATTCAGAATGATCTTGATAGGTTGAAATAAGAGTATGAAGTTTAACAAGGACAAGTGCAAAGTCCTACACTTAAAAAAAATCACAGTAAGTTCAGTCTTACTGAGGCTATAGTTGGAGTACCATGTTCATTTTTGGTACAGCACGTCCACATCTTTTTGGAAAAAGGAGAGCAACAGAAATGAATTGCAGGTTTTGAAAGCATGACAGTTGAGGAAAAGTTGGAAGAATTGGGGTTATTTAGACTAGAGAAGGAAATATTGACTGGTAGAGGATTTGTGTGTGGTGACTTATCCTTCTTTGAATCCACAGGAAAACAAGTAATGGGCTTAAATTGTAGCCAGAGAGATTTAGGTTATATATTAGGATAAACTTTCTAAATGGTTAAGCACTGAAACAGATTATCTGGAAAGGTTGTGGAATCTCTGTCATTGAAAGTTTAAGCACAGGTTAGATAAATATTTGTCTTGAATGTTTTATATACAAGTGATCTTACATTGAACAGTAGGGTGTTGAAGTAGATGAGTCTTGAGGTCCATTCCAGCCTAGTATTTCTTTTATTTCTATGACTAATTTAAACTGAATCAATTTATGACCATTCAGTTCAAGGATCTGTACAATGATCAGCTCTTCTATAATGTCCTTGTCGTTTGCCAAAACCGAGTCTAAAATCAACATTAAATCTCTTATTAGTTCAGTGATTCTTTAGTAAAGAAATGTTGGCTACTGTATCCAGAAATTACTAGGCCCAGGCATTATTGGTAGCATTTGTTCCTCTATCTGCATCTGGAAAGTTGGTCTCCTGTGACACAATTCCGAACAATACTTATCTTTCTAGTAATGTTACTGGGGATCTTTGAATAGTCAAATCCCAACCATAGTGATCTGAGCCCATAACTAGGGTGACCATATCTTGTTTTCACCAGGACAGTCCTCTTTTAAACCCGTGGTCCAGGAATTTCCTTATTGTGCTCAC